GATGTTAAAATCAACAGGCAGAGAGTCAAAGCAGCTATTATAAGTATGCTCAAGAAACTAACAGCAATCATACTTAAAGAATTAAAGAAGTTGCGATGGAAATGTATCATCAAATAGAGAAGACTAATAAAGAGATAGAAAAATTTAAAATATAAAATGAAAATTCTGGACTTGAAAAGTAAATAATGGAAATTAAAACTTCATCAGGCAATTTAATACTAAACTCAAACCCAATACCTTCAAGTGGATTTCAACTAAGGCAACCCATGTACGATAGTATCAAATTGCTCCATAAGGTTGTCTTGGCAATATTCTATACAGAAATAGTTCACTAGTCCTTTCTTACATGGTACCGGTGGGTAGATGAATCACCCATCATTTGGTTAATAAAGCAAAATCCAAACCCCCTACCACCAATTCAATTTCAGCTCATAACAATCTTATTGGACAAAGTAGAGCTGGGTTTCCAAGGCCATAAATATCAATGAAGGCAGACTGCCACATCTTTCTCCCACAGAAAGACTGGTGGGTTCAAACCACCAACCTTCTGGTTAGCAGCTGAGCACTTAACCACTGTGCCGCCAGGGTGTCACGACCTTCAGTAGAGATGGCAAAAAAAAAAAAAAAAAGGCATTTGAATAGACATTTTTCTATAGAAGATATATAGTCAATAACAAATGAAAAGATGTTCAACATCATTAGTCATTGTTGTTGTTAAGTGTCATCTAGTGGGTTCCGATTCATAGTGACCTTGAATAGGCTGATAAGCTTGAACTGCTGACCCTGCAGTTCAAACCGATCTTGCAGTCCACTGCATTAATCCACAGGGCCACACCAGGACTCCTTATTAGTCATTTTTATTGTTACTGTTAGGTGCCATCAAGTTGGTACCGACTATCATAGCAACCATATGCACAGAAGAATGAAACACTACCTGATCCTGGGCCAACCTCACTACTGTTGTCACGCTCGAGTCCATCGATGCTGCCACTTGGCAAATCCAACTCATTGGGATCTTCTTCTTTTTTTCTGACCCTCCACCTTACCAAACATGATATCCATCTCCAGTGACTGGTCCCTCCTGACAATATGTCCGAAGGATGAGAGATGGAGTTTGGCCATCTTGGCCTCCAAGAAGCACTCTGGCTGCACTTCTTCCAAAATGGACCTATTGGTTCTTTTGGAAGCCCATGGCACTTTCAATATTCTCCTCCAACACCATAACTCAAAAGCATCAATTCTTCTACGGTCCTCCTTATTCACTGTCCAGCTTTCGCATGCTTATGAGGTTATTGAAAACACCATGGCTTGGATCAGGTATACCTTAGTCCTCAAGCTGACAGCTTTGCTCTTCAACGCTTTAAAAGGTCTTGTGCAGCAGATTTGCCTAATGCAATATGTCATTTGTTTTCTTGACTGCTGCTTCCATGAGTGTTGATAGTTAATCCAAGAATGAAGTCCTTGACAACTTCAATCTTTACTCCATTGATAAGAATATTGATTATTGGTTCAGTGGCAAAGATTTTCGTTTTCTTTACATTGAGATGTAATCCATACCAAAGGCTGTGCTCTTTGATCTTCATCAGTAAATGTTTTAAGTCCTCTTCACTTTCAACAAGCAAGGTTGTATCATCTGCATATCGCAGGTTGTTAATGAGTCTTCCTCCAATCCTGATGCCATGTTTTTCTTCATAGAACCCAGCTTCTCAGATTATTTCCTCAGCATACAGGTTGAATAAGTATGGTGAAAGAATACAACCGTATCGCACACCTTTCTTAATTTTAAACCATTCAGTGTTCCCATGTTCTGTTTGAACAACTGCCTCTTGCTCCATGTACAGATTCCTCATGAGCACAATTAAGTGTTCCGGAATACTCATACTTCGCAATGTTATCCATAGCTTGTCATGATCCACACAATCAAAAGCCTTTGCATAGTCAATAAAGCATAGGTAAACATCTTTCTGATATTCTCTGTCCGAAGATCCACTAGACATCAGCAATGATAACCCTCAGATCATGGCCTCTTCTGAATCTGGCTTGAACCTCTGAAAGTTCTCTGTCAATGTATGCTTGCACCCGTTTCTGTATTACCTTTAGTAAAACTATACTCACATGGGATATCAAAGAGATTGTCCAAAGATTTCCGCATTCCATTGGGTCACCTCTCTTTGGAATGGGCACAATACGGATCTCTTCCAATCTACAATTTGGAAGATAGTAGTCTTCCAAATTTCTTGGCAGAGATGAGTGAGTACCTCCTGCGCCGCCTCACTTTCTTGAAAGATTTCAATTTTTATTCCATCAATTCCTGGTGCCTTGATCTTTGTCAATTCCTTCAATGTACCTTGGACTTCCTCCTTCAGTAGCATTGGCTCTTGATCATATGCTACCTCTTGAAACAGTTGAGCATTAACCATTTCCTTTTGGTACAGTAACTCTGTATATTCCTTCCATCTTCTCTTGATGCTTTCTGCATCATCAATACTTTGCCCAGAAAAATCTTTAAATAATGAAAGTCAAGGCTTGAATTTTTTCTTCGGTTCCCCCAGCTTGAGAATTGCTAAGCGTGTTCATCCTTTTGGGTTTTCTGATTCCAGATCTTTGCACATTTGTTGTAATATTTGGCCTTATCTTCTTGAGCTGATCTTTGAAATTTTCTGTTCAGCTCTTGGATCTCCTCATTTCTTCCATTTGCTTTAGCATCTCTATGCTGGAGAGCAAGTTTCAGTGTCTCTTCTGGCATCCATTTTGACCTTTTCCTTCTTTCTTGTCTTCTTAATGACTTTTTGCTTTATTAGTCATTAGGGAAATACAAATCAAAACCACAGTGAGATACAACACACATTTGTGTGCCATTGAGTCGATTCTGTCTCATAGCAGAAGCAAATCTCTAGGTCTTTACTCCTTTGCAGGCTCCAGTCAGCTCAAATTGTGGACCTTTTGGTTAGCAGATAATCACTTAACCATAACACCACCAGCACACACACACACTAGAATAGCTCTAATAAAAAAAGACAGTAACAAGTGCTAGAGAGGGTGTAGAAAACTGGAAACCTTATGCATTACTTAGAGTCCTGATGAGGCACTGTAAGATAAATATTAGACTGCTACCTGCAAGATCAGCATTTCAAATCCACCAGCTGGTCCTCAGAAACTCTGTAAGAGCCACTATGTGTTGGAACCTACTTGATGGCACTTAACAGCAACAACAATATAATGTAAAATTGTAGTAATGTAAAATGGTACCATGAGTTTAGAAAAGAGTTTGACAGTTTCCCTATATGGTAAACATAGAGCTACTATATTGTTGTTGTTGTTGTTGTTGTTAGGAACCACTGAGTTGGTTCCAACTTAAAACAACCTTATGCACAACAGAACAAAGCACTATAAGGCCCAGCAATTCCACTCATAGGAATCAAGAGAAATGAAAATATATGTCCACGTAAAAAACTGTACATAAATGTTTATAGCAGCATTTCTCATATTAGGTAAAAGATGAAAAAGGCAATTGTTTATCAACTGATTAATGGATAAACAAAATATGCACCCATATAATGGGATATTATCAGTTATCAAGAGGAATGGAGTACTGATATAGCATGGACTAACCTGGACAACATTAAGCTAAGTAAAAGCTGCTAGTCACAGAGAGCACACAGTGTATGCCTGCATGCACATGAAATCTCCAGAACAAGCAGGTCCACAGACAGGAAGTAGATTTAGGGGTTACCTAGGTCTTTGACCTGGAGTCCTGGTGTGGTGCTGTGGGTTAATGCACCAGACTGCAAAGCCATTTGAACTGCAAGGTCGGTGGTTCAAGCTCACCAGCTGCTCCTCAGAAACCCTATACAGGGTCGCTATGGCTCGGAATCAACTCCATGGCACTTAACAATAACAACAACAGGTCTTTGACCTGGGAGTCCTGGTGTGGCGCTGTGGGTTAATAAGGCAGACTGCAAAGCTGTTGGAACTGCAAGGTTGGCAGTTCAAGCTCATCACCTGCTCCTCGGAAACTCTATATAGGGTCGCTATGGGTAGGAACTGACTTGACGGCACTTAACAACAACATCAAGGCTCTAGCCTAGGCCTATAGGGAGGAGGAAAATGAGGAATGACTGGTAATGGGTACAAAGTTTCTGTCAGGGACAATGAATATAGTTATATTTAGATTGGGTAATGGTTGTACAACTATAAATATACTAAAAACTACTGAAATGGTATTTTAAATTTTGTGGTATATACATTTTATCTCCGTAAAAATGTTGAAAAATACTCTGGCTCTCCCCTTCTCTAGTAGGTATTCCTCTTGGCATTAAAGAAGAAAACAAAAGGACAGACAGAAACTATTTCTGTGCCATAGGAAATTAGTCCATTGAACACACTGAAGACTTACTGACACTGTGGACTGGTTACAAATCCCAAATGTAGTCCTTTGTATTGTCTGATGAAGCTGCACCAGAGTGCTAATAAGTACACCTCCTTGAATTAAAGACTAAAATTCCTTGGATTAGAGACTTCCAGTTTTATAAAATAATTAAACAAATTTAGTGTGCAAGGTTATGTTCCCAATTTCTTTAATTTAAAAAATTCTGTACTTTGAGGCCACCATGGAAGAGGTCATAGTTTTTTCATCCTACTTACATATATGTTAACAATCTACAGAGACACTAAGAATTTTACCAGATGGAAATTACTAAATCATAAGGCTGATAAATGTAGTAATAAGGTTGATAAATTGTAGTAATGTAAAATGGTACCATGAGATTAGAAATACCTACAGGTTTTCCATTTTAAAAGTTATACCCCATAGTCTTCTTTCAGAAAACACAGAAAGAAGCAAGAGAAAAAAAGGAAGAAGGATGAAAAATTAAGAGAGTAGACATTATTATGTCTTCCTTTTATCATCAAATTATAATGTAAATTATGTACATTATAATCAATTGTATTAAGTGATCTTAGTTGTACACAGAAAATTGACTTGAAAAAGCAAACAGTACCTTCTGGAGGGGTCCCGATACTACTGCCAAGACCCAAAATAGCCATCTTATGAGTTCTTGGTTCCAGCATCACAGCAGACTCTTCTCCCCTTTCCCAGTGGGGTATCTTGACGGGCTCCAGGTGGACATTCTCCAGCCCATCTTCCTGCAAGTTTTGGTACATGATTTGGATGGCTTTTTCTAGGTTCTTGGAGCCACTCAGTCTGGGGCCAATGGTATCAACCAGAAGTGCCAATCGCTCATAGGATCTGTTCTGGGCTTTACCATACACAGCAAGATTGATGATAGCTTTAGCAATATCTCCATAGCTGGCTATTTCTTCTTGTATTTCTTGAAAAGTCCTTTGAGAGATGGCAGAGCCCAGGGATATGAGGTCAACAATGCTGACAATTGTGAAGAGAAGGTACTTCATCTTTTTTGTTTTTATACAGTTGGTTCTTCCTAAGATAATTAACATAAGTAAGAAAAAGGCATGTTTAGTTGAGTGGAAATGTCACACCATTTCCCCAGAACAGAGGTTGCTATTTGGGCAGCTACTCTCCTCTTCTTAACCATTCCACAGCCTCCCCCATCAGCTTCAGTAACTGTAACTCAAGAAGGGAGAAGTAAAGGGACAGTGGTTGGCCTTGCTAAGATACAGTATGAAACCCAAAAAATCAAGTAATTCTGTTTAAAATATGCCAGAAGGCTAAAAGAAGAAGAGGGTGAGGAAGAGGGGAAGAAGTCATATTAGCAGTAGTAACATCTGTGACAGGGTTGTTGTTAGGTGCCATCAAGTCAATTTCAACACACAGTGATCCTATGTGACTGAGTGGAGCTGCCCCACTAGGTTCCCTACTCTGTGATCTTTAAAGGACTAGATTGTTAGGTCTTTCCTCCTTTCCTTAATCAGCTTTTGTGCCACCAGGACTCCTTGTGATAGGATTAAACAAAACAAAATCTGTTGCCACCCATTCAAATCCAACTCACAGTGACCTGACAGGACAAAGTAGAACTGCCCCATGGGGTTTCTGAAACTTTAGGAAGCCGGCTGCCAATTCTTTCTACCATAAAACAGCCAGTGCATTCAAACTACCAACCTTTTGATTAGCAGTTGAGTGCTTAACCACTGCACTACCAGAGCTCCTTGTGATAGGATTATTGTTGTTAAGTGCCGTCGAACTGATTCCAACCAAGTGCAACCCTGTATAGGGTATCTGAGGAGCAGCTGGTGGAATCTCCCCTTAGAATAGCTTCAAAAGGGTTTCAGTGCCCCAGCTCCCTGGTATGTTCTTTCCTCTTCTCTGCCTACCCAACCTGTCCTTTAAGAACCTTTTAGATGCTATCTTTTCCAAATGACTTTCCCTAGTCCCCTTCTACTGAAAATGACTTTTTCATCATGTATGCCCCAAGAGCATTTTATGTGCATATTCAAAAGATTCTGAATGTCTACCATATGCCAGGGATTGCGATGGCTTATTAGAAGGAAGAAAGCTAAGCTACTACAAAAAAAAAAAAGATAATATAAAGTATAAAGATTGGGCTTTGTTATCATCTAACTTTGTAGTACCTCATCACCTACATGGTAGTAATGAAAATAATAACAATAATGGGAAAGATAGGAACCAGCTACTTACTTGTTCATACAGTGTCAGACCATGCTCTAAATATATTACATTCATTAACACACTGAATACTCACAATAATTTGGTGATGTCGTTTCTTATTATAGGGAATCCCCAATTTTATGTCATAGTCAAGTTAAAATGAAACACACTTACTACCTACCATTGTTTTTTTTGTTCTGTTTTTGTACAACTTATTGTAATATATACTACATCAAATATTGCAAAGCATAAAAGGACCATACAGACAACATTTGCTAATTTTCTGACTAGAAACACCATCCTCAGTCCCAGAGATAATCTAGATGACCCAGAACCTTCCACAAGTGTGTTATTACTGCAATAAACTTAATGTCAATATTGTCCATTTTTAAAAAAGATGTGTGTATTTTTATGTATGAATGTATGTATTATTAAAATATATTTATAGGTTTGTCTCCAACCTCCAAAGACAAAAAACACATTTATAAGTATACTACTAATAAATGACAGTAGTAAGGAAAACTTTTATTAAAAAGTGGTGTTCGGCTATCCCCTCTGTACACAGAGTAGATAGGGACAGGCAACTTAGACACTGACTACCTAAAATGAGGAGGTGATAAAGGCACGAACTGACTGGCTTACAAGTTTTCAAGAAGAAATTTAGTTTAAGAGTGTTCAGGGGGAAGATAGAATTCACAATGAATCATTTTCATCTTGTCTAGATGGGTCTGGTAAAAAGAGATGGGGACAAGATTCTTATGATTCAATAGTGAGTAATTGTTATCATGACTAATTGAGACTAACACATCTGTAAAGGTAGAAGTTTTGTAACAAAAACTGGGGAATAGTAAATCTTACAGTCCAGAAACAGAGGGCCCTAGGACCATCAAGGGAGAAGAGCACAAGCAGAATGCAGGACCTTATCCAAAGAAGCAGCGATACCAGAGACAGAGATGGGGACATGAAGAGAAGGAGCAGCTGAGGATTTTCATGGATTCATGGAAAGAGAGGGACTGGAAGCTGGTGACCAGGAGACAGGCTTGCAGAATTTGTCTTTTGGTGGTTTAAATTATCATTTATGGCTGAGTGTTTAAAAGAAAAAAGAAAAAGTGGTGTTCGACTTAGGTCAGAAACAACTTTCCATGGAGTTATCAGAACAGAACCTCATTGTAAATCAGGGACTACTTGAATTTTCTCCATTTGACAAGGGATGAAACCAGGGAACAAAGCATTTAAGTAATTTTCCCAAGATACACAAGGACTTTCTAGCTCTAGACTCCATGCTCTGAACAGGGCTACTCAAAGTATGGGTTGCAGACCAATGCTAGTCTGAAGACTTCTTCTCTAGACTGAAATGGAGGAATGCAGAGATTGAGAGAAGATATATCCAGCACTGTCCAATGCAGTAGCCAATAGACTGATATAACACCTTAAATTTAAGTTAACTAAAAGTCATTAAAACTTAAGTTTTCAGTCATACCACCCACATTTCAAATATTCAGCTGTCACAGGTAGCCAGTAGCTACCATCTTGGATAGCACAGATATCTGTCCCCATGATCACAATACATCCTACTGGACAGCACTGACTTAGATGTTTTTATAGAGAACTGGCAGAATAATTATATATTTGTCAAATCTAGTGATAATGATTTGACAAGGTTCTTCTTTTTGTATGTCTTTTCATCTTTTACTAATTCACTTTCATTGCATTTTGATAAGGCATTAGTCTGTGGCAAATTGGAAATTTAAAAACAGATCCTTTCCCATTGATCATTTGAGAAGCACAACCATATACTACTATAGTATAATTTCAAATTCATTCTGACATAAAAGACCTTTCAAAATATGGCTCAAAAAAACTATGTCTTCAACAACCACTTCAACTTCATTTATTCTCCTTGACTTAGAGCATACACATATGTTCTCATTCTCAATCTGTTTCTCTCTCACACATGCACACTTATCCCTAAGCTTCTAGATAGTAAATGCTTTAAATGCAGCTCATTCATTTTGTTTTGTTTTTTTGAAGACTTGTTATAATAAAAGAAGATAATAATTTTATATATATTAGGTTAGATAAAATATATTGTTATTGTCAGGTGCTATCAAGTCAGTACCAATTTATAGCAACCTTATGCACAACAGAACAAAACACTGCCTGGGCCTGCGTCAACTTCACAATTGTTGCTGTGCTTGAGCCCATTGCTGCTGCCACTGTGCCAATCCATCTTGTTGGGGGTCTTCCTCTTTCTCACTGACCCCCCACTTTACCAAGCATGATGTCCTTCTCCAGGGACAGGTCCTTCCTGATAATATGCTTGAAGTATGAGAGACAAAGTCTGGCCATCCTGGCTTCTAAGAAGCATTCGGGCTGTACTTCTTCCAACACAAATTTGCTTTTTCTTTTGGCGATCCACCATACCACCAAATAAAACATAGTATTATTAATTTCACTTGTTTCTTTTTACTTTTATAATGTGGCTATGAGAATTTTTTTAGCTACATATGTGGTTTACATTATATTTCTTGATCTAGCTACACTGAACTTCACACTATTCTTCAAATACCCAGATCATCTCATCACTGTGTCTCTACATAAGTTCATGCTCCTTTACTGCAAAATCCTTCCCTACAGCCTGCTCCCTGGCTTCTGGAAAATGCCTCCACTCATCATTTTTTTAAAGTCAGCTTTGAAAATCACCTCTTCTTTTTAACCTCACCAAACAACATACAGAAACCTTTGCAACATCTTCTGTGCTCCCACCATACTTCACTGTTGTCAGACAATATATTTGTTTAAAAATTGTTGCCCCATATCCATATATTCTTGTTGGGTACCACTGAACTAAATCAAACTCATAGTGATCACACAGCACAGAGAACTGCCCCATAGGTAGTTACTATCCCAGGCAGTCATTTTTATAGAAATGGATCACTAGGTCTTTTCTCTGGTGAGTTTGAATATGAACATTTGAGTGATCAGCTGGGCACTTAACTACTGAGCCACCAGGGCTCCTTAGACATGTACATACATACATGTACATATATACATGTACATACATACATGTGTATGTATATATGCGCTCAAAACATTTTTATTTAAGGAATGAATGAGCGTGTAATTGTTATAGGTCTTTGCTTCCCTAAGGTCTGAACATACTTTTCTCATTCTCAAAGAAGCTGTAAGAATAAAAACCTTTTGTCACGTTTAGCATACTTTGAAAAATTATGAAAACTATACATGACTGCTGATTTTCTTTTCGTTACAACTATTTCCATGGGTAAGTTCTTGGTTTCTATAGTCAGCACAATTATGCCTAAAAAAAAACACTAAATATTTAAAGCAATCAAAATATTCCACCAGGTTGCAATTAATTTTGAAAGTATATTTTTCCGATATGTTTTGGTGAAAAAAACAAGATTCACAAATGATCTGTTCATTAATAATAACAAGAATATACTCCTCAACCCAGAGAGGCAATGATGCCGCCAGGCATGGAGACAGAGATGATGACGTGGACAGATGGAGTGGCTGGGGACACGGGACTCAGGGAGGGAGAGGGGCTGTGTGCTGACAGGCGGGCCTGTGGGATGTATATCCTTTGGTTATTTGATGATGCATGGAGGGGATTGTAATCCTTGCAATGAAACGAAATACAATAGGATGAATGTAAAATTGATGTTCTCCCATGTAAACCCACAGAATTCACAATAAAAACTTAAAAAAAAAAAAAAAGAATATACTCTTCATTAAAATTTTCTAAGCATTCTGCAAACATTAACAATTTCACAGTGCATTTCTAGTAAAGGATTAGAGTCTTATAATGACAACATGGTGGAGACTCAGGAAAGTTTAG